ATGAATGAGACGAAAATGCATCTTTAAAAACAATAATTAAAAAATGTATAATTAACGCTTTATTACTATTTCGCTATTTTTTTTGATAAATATCCCTCCTTTTTGGTGGAAAAGAATTTGTTCGAGAATTGAACACAAATAGGTATTAACAGGATAAACTGCAGTAATACACAGGGTGATCAAAAAATATCTGGCGCAGTTGTAATTATCTAATTAACATTTTGTAAATATGGATAAAAAAAAGTAAATTTCAACCTCTGTTATTGACTTTTAAGGCTTAAGAAAAACAAAAAGAGAAAAAATTGATTGGAAAAGTGACGATTCGAATTTTTTAGCTTGAATGTAGTCTCACATTTATAAAATTAAATTAAAACCTTCATACTAATTATTTATTATACAAAAATACAGTGGAAATTGCACTTACTTGATGATTTAAAGAATTGCAGAAGATTGCTGTTGTATTCCACCGATTTTACCGGCTCTACAATAACCACTGAGTAACTATAGCTAAAGTTAAGCTAACTTTCCAAGCGCCTCAGCAATGCCCTTGACCTCGCTCGTTGATACAGACATGAACCTTAGACTGATAAGTGCAAATTGTTTGTCTATATCATGAGCAATATTTAGTACAAAATTTTTATCGACATTTAAAAATATTTGACTAGACTAATTGATAATTTAAAGTAATCCTTTAGAAAATTACTTCTATTAATTAATTAATACTGTAAACACCACACTTTTTTGATTATGTGTTATTCGACTTTTTTAAAAAAGAAAATTAAAATCTGACTGACTCGACTTTTTGTACGACCACGCCTTAAAAATTAAACTACTTATTTGCATATTTAGCATATGTATAATTACCTTTATAACTAATTCGTTAGAATTGCAGTTCTTTTTCGTAGTACATCTTCTTTCGAGATTCTTCTTAACTTTCTTTTTAACGTTATACACACCATGTTTACAACGTTTAAAATTTGGTAATTTAATATACTTTCCATGAGGACTGTTTTTAATTTGACTGATGGACTTATAAAATCGTTTCTCTATTCTCGATTGCAAATAATCAAGAAACTGCTGAGTTTCTGGTAGGTCCAGTCGACTAATTATGTATTGGTAATTAGAAAATAACACGCTTAAAGGAACTTTTTTCGACTTATGATTCCTTTCTTTGGCACTTTTGGTTTCAGCAGAGATTCCTTCCTCGGGGTGAGAAACCGCTTCTTTAGTAGACGTTTTATTAGTATCTAAAACGTTAGTAATTGAAGTTTCAGTATTAACTTCGGCTTCCACACTAACGGGACTATCTTTAAAAATAAATTCGGGTAATGAAGTTGACTCATTTAAATTCGTTTCTGAACTAGCTTTTTCTGAAATTTCGTTTTTGTTACTGTTTACCGAATTGTCCGTCAATAAGTTACTAAAACCGTTGTGGTATTCGATATTTTCATTTGAATCCAACGGAAATGGATATCTGTACACATTACCAAAATCGTCATACATGTCTACTGGATTTTCTATGCTTTTTAAATTATTATCTGTTTCAAAAACAGTATCTCTAATCTTATCTACCCCTTTATGATTTAAATTTTCTTCTCCATTACTATTATTTTCCTTAGAGGAAATTTTCGATGTTCCTTCAAGAATGGCATCTATTTCTTTTATCAAATCAATATACTCGTTATTTATATTTTTACTGGTAGAGTTGTCATTATTATCTAGTTCTAAAATATCATTTAGGTCTGGCATGTCTAAGGTGGTAGGATTTTGAGATGGCGATTTATCGACTATTGGAACTTTTAAAAGAGCACTGTTTCCATATTCAGGAGGAACACATACTTTTACTGTCATAATGTTTTCTGTTTCTGGAAAACTTTCGTTGTAATTAGACCAAATAGTATTGGGGTATGTTTGATCGTTAGTGATTGTACTTTTACTAGTGTCTTCTTCATTGGTGGTTAATTTTGAAACAATCTTCTTGATCTGTTTTGTGTATTTCCTCTTTTTCATAGGTGCTTTTACTATTTCATTCTTGCAGTCACAGTGTAATAAAGAATTATTATTAGCATACATTCCAATATAGTTTATCTGACTCTTCTTTGGCGATCTTATAGATTTTTTTGAAGGTTTATATATATTTAAAAGAAAATTTAACTTATTAGATAAATCCGTATGATCATTTTCATTATTTTCTAACGTGTGAGTATACAAGATGTCTTTTTCCTCGTTTTCATTACTATTCTGGAGTGTTAAGTCAGATGGAAAATTCACAGAAGATTCAACATTTTCTGTACTACCTTCAACGTGTAATTTAACTGGTTTAGAAAGAAAATGTTTGAGAGTCTCTTCTTGAAGAGTTTGTGAATTTTTATTTTCAATCTGTTTCTTTGCAAGTTTTCTTTTAACTTTTCGAACAGTTTTAATACTTTGGTTTATCTTCTTTTTCTTATTGTTTGAAACCTCACCTGCTCCGTCTAACTGAGGAATGCTTTCGATATTTTCATTACCATCGTCCTTTCTATCAATTTCCCAAGATGATAATTGGAAGTCGTCTAATACATTCTGTAAAGACAAACTTAAATCAAATTCGACGTCTTCTTCTATCGATTGAATTTTCTGAGATAAGACACTGTCCTCTTCATCGCTTTCTTCGTCTTTATTTAAATTTTTCAACACTTGTAAAAACTTTTGAGCATCAGGGTCTAAAAATATGCTATCGTTTGGGTTTTCAGCATCATTGCAGGTTTCTTCTAACTTATTTTGCACGGTGTTGGTGCACGAGAGAGTTAGTGAAGCAGATATGTGACATAGGGTAGTAGAGGCATTTAATAGGTCTTTGTTTTTAGGTTTTTCGGCAGGATAAACAGAATTATTACTTTCAGAGCTACTATTGGAATCTATATCCGCTGAAAATGACTTAATTTTCTGAACGAGTATTTTAAGATAGTTAAAATGTGATTCTGTTTGTTTTACATTTTTACGATTTTGAGTTAGACAATTACTCATTTGTGAACTTTGCTGTTTGTTTCTACGTCTCTGTTTTTCGTCATTCCACAGTGACATTATGCCTGGATTTGAAGCCAAGTTACCATTTACTATTTCAAGTCTATTTTCTATATAGATCGAAAGGGTGTCTATTTCTAACTGACATGTACTTATTTTTAAAACTGAAGAAGGCAAAAAACTCTCTGAATCTACATCATTAATCTGGCAAATTGAACCTTGTCGATAAAATACTTTTGAAACATAAACAAAACTCATGCCATGTAAATTGTAGTCTATCATGAATTGTAAAACAAAAGGCAAATGAGCCTCATGAGGTTGAAATATTTTACTCATTACACTACCATTCTGCAAAAGCATAGAAGCCCTTTTTACTAGTAGAGGATTATAAAAGAAAATTTTTAGAAACTGATGTTCTCTTGCATGATATCCATACATAGGTCTGTAATTAAGATGTTTATAAATAGGTAGTAGAAGAACACATTGATAAATGAGTTTCAGTCATTCATTACTGTAGATTTAGAACATGACAATGAATATATAAATTTGTACATACTATGGTACTGATCAAATCAAGATCTTAAATTACTCACTGCTACTAACCTTCCAGAGACTAAAACTATTTTATAAATATGTTGAGCATTAGAGCTTGCTTGTCCAAAACTTATATTAATTGCTTTATCAAGGCCAGATGCCATTTGATACATGATTACATCTTCCTTGTCAGAATCATCATATGGAACATAAATATATGGAAAAGCTCCATGAATATGAAGGCACGTCTTATCACCTTAACAAATCATTCTCTTAATCTTAATAACAACTTATTCATTCAAAGCAAAACTTACCTGTATTTGTAGAACCAAATATTCGTATCACCGGTACTTGTTTCACAGAAGAACCCCGAAATTCGGAATACGTAACATCAAGATTAGAAATAGGGGGACTCATGTAAAAATCTGCATTTACAATTCTAACAATAGCCATAATTAACACTTAAAAATTAAACTTAAGATTTAAATTTATTGAATGTATTAATATTCTGAGGTTATGACCATTAAATGTCACATTGAAAATAATATAATATCACAATTATATTATATTTTATTTTGTATTATACAATATTCCAATAAGATTTTTTTCTATTCGTAAACTAATTAGAACTTAATAATGGAAAAGCTAGACGTCTTTCAGCAAACATTTTCAAAAGTTTTACACACCACTCACATTAAACATCATTATCATCATCTTTATAAAAGCCATAGATAATGGATAAAAACATAGATAATGATAAAAGCTTTGCACCCCATTGCCAGATGCCCATTTGTTTAATCAAACTATTGTTTACTATGTATATACAGGTATAGTTTAAAATAATGTATAGCTAACATTATAATTAAAATTATTGTTAACAATGGTTTTTTTAGTAAGTGTTTTTCAAGTTTTATAAAGCAGTGGTTTACATATTACATTTGATGTTTTTATATTTCGGATAATGCTTACAAAGTTTTGGCAACATTGTTTCTACCGTTTCAAATCAAAATTGAATTTTAACGGTTTCTACGTAGTTTCATGTTTCAGATAATTGTATATAATTCTTTAAAGCCTGGTGCATGTGCTGTATAAAAAATCGTTATTTATAATTACTAATTTGTATAGTGATAACTGACGATGTCTCAGTTTAAATATTTAAACGAAATGAACGCTCTCCTAAACATTGATGGACCTTTAACAAATGTGCCCATGCCAAGGTGGCAGAAAAAAAAAGCACAAGAGAATAATTTAAGCGTAATATCAAATGGACCATTAAATTCTTCAAAATCAGTGTTATCTTCGTCAACAAATACAACTATTTCTACAAACAAAACAACCCCAAATAAATTGACTGGAAGTGATATAGTAAGAACAAAAAAGACTCCTTCAAAGACTCCTGCTAAGGGGAAATCACCAAGTCGATCAAAAACCCCTACTCCGAATAAAGGAGCTAAAACGCCAGGTGGAGGAGACAGATTCATTCCCACAAGAAGTGCCATAAACTTTGATCTAGGACATTTTAAAATTAATCAAGATGACAGCTCTGCTGACAGTCCCTCAAAAGATTTACAGAAAGTAATGTGTGAAAACTTGCACGGAACAGACATAAGTAAGCAAAGAATATTGTCTTATCAAGTAAAGGCTCCTGCACCACCAGAAGGTTTCCAAAACCCAATGAGAGTAGTGTACACCCAAACAAAAACTCCAGCATCTGCAAAAAGCAACAACAGATACATTCCTCAAGCTCCAGACCGAATTTTGGATGCTCCAGACATTATTGACGATTACTATTTGAATCTCGTGGACTGGAACGCCAATAATGTACTTGCAGTAGCTCTGGAGTCTCAGATATATTTATGGGATGCAGGTAACTTATAATTTAAATTTCTTAATTCTCAGTATAAAACTAATACATATTATTTTAATGGGAATTACAGGATCAGGAAAAATAGAACAACTACTTCAACTAGAAGGTAATGACTATGTTTGTTCAGTCTCTTGGATCCAAGAAGGCAATCACCTGGCAGTGGGGACAACTAAGGGAACCATCGAATTATGGGATTGCAACCAAATGAGGCGCATGCGCACGATGGATGGACATTCTGCCAGGGTTGGGTCCTTGGCATGGAATTCCTATATATTAACCAGCGGCTGCAGAAGCGGTCAGATAATTCATCACGATGTCAGACAAAGAGAACATAATGTTTTGACCGTTTCCGGCCACACCCAGGAAGTGTGTGGACTTAGATGGTCCACTGATGGGAAGTACCTAGCCAGTGGGGGCAACGACAATGTTCTAAACATTTGGCAAGCAGTTAACGGTGGTAATCATTCACAGCCCACACCAGTTTATACTCTTACGTCTCACCAAGCAGCAGTAAAGGCTCTCGCATGGTGTCCCTGGCAACCCAACATTTTAGCCAGTGGAGGGGGCACAGCTGACAGACATATAAGATTCTGGAACTGTAGCAATGGATCTTGCGTTAACGCGATTGACACTAAGTCCCAAGTATGTGCGTTATTATGGTCTCCAACTTATAAAGAATTGGTTTCTGGTCATGGATTTGCTAATAATCAGATCATTATATGGAAATATCCCGGAATGAAAAAGATGACGGAACTTACAGGACATACGGCCAGAGTTTTGCATCTTGCAATGTCCCCTGATGGGACCACGGTCCTTTCAGCTGGCGCTGATGAGACTTTGAGACTATGGAAATGTTTCGTGAAGAATTCAACTAAAAAGGAGACCACTGGCCCAGTTAAGGCGAAGGCTAGTGCTCTTAAACAAAGTATTCGATAAAATAAGCGCCCTTTTTTTGCTGTTGACTGATATACCTACTTATTAAATTTAAGACTTTACACATTATTTATATTGTGTATAATACCTGTTTTATGAGGGTGTATGTGCACCAGACAATTATTTTTATAATAATAAAATATGAAGGCAAATATTTCTCTTTAATATTATGGGCGTTAAAACGTACAAAAAAATAATTTTTATAACGATATAAAATTATCGAATAAGAAAAAATAAAAAAAAAAAAAGCTTTTACATGTTTCTAGGATATGACACTTGTTGAACATATTACTCTTGATAAAGAATTAACAAATCGAAACATACTAATTACATTGTTATATTTATAATTTATATTTAACATGTAAACATTTAAAAGCGCCTTTTCTTAGTTTTTCTAATTTATTTGGATTAATGCATAAAAATTTACTTAAATTATCAATTATTTATNATGTAAAATATAATATTTAATGAGTATTAGACAATTTACCTTAAGCTACTATAGTAAAAATAATTTACAAACGAGTTTCGAATGGTACATAAAAAAATTTAGAAAACGCTTTTAAGTTTTTACAAATTCTTAAAAATATTTACATATAAGAAATTAAAATAAAAGAAACCACTGTAAACTAATAACGTATAAAATATATAATCGTCTAATCAATACCGTTGACCACAGCAGATGCTCTTAGTTGCTGAGATTTTGGTGTTGGTGGTTTGAGAGTATCAAAATTGCTAGTGTTTGGTTGATTTTGGTGTTTGGTTTCTTGAAGGTATCGTTTATTGGAGGACTCTAAATTGGATAACAGCTTTGCCCATTGTTCCTAAAAGTTAGTAAAGTATTATACGAAGTCCTGTACGATTATTTAGAACAAGAATCTTTAAATCCTTACCAAGATGTTGACGAAGTAAGAGAACACAATAGCTGCTTGTTTGATCCCTAATTGGGCAGATTCTAATACGAATTCGTTCACATTTTCCAAATGAAATATCTAAGAAGAAATCAAACACAAGACAAGCCTTATTAGTTATCACTAATTCGCAGGGAGACATGCAATTCCATCAAATATGTTTGTGCGTGCAAAGCAGGAAATACATTGCTAATTACGGTACTGTTTAGCATGCAAACGACGGATGGGAAAAGAGGACGAAACTGAAAATAAACAAAAATTTCATTGCCGTTAAAAAGCAGCGCATTGTCCCACAATGTAGGACTGTCTGTTGGAAGAGTTTTTGGGTGAGGGGATGGAGATGAGAAATCGAGTCGGGGAAGGGTGAAAGTGGGATGAAGGGTTAGGTCGGGATATGACTAGATCAGATTAGCTTAGGTTGTTTTCATTATTTGATTTCTTCACTTCCACCCCACCTTTTTTAAATAGTTTTTGACATGCTAATCATGACATGTTACATGCACGAACAACGAAACTGTTACAGGACGTAGAGACAAAGATCTCTCCAGTAATCTTACGGACCCTAACTGATAACTGGCTGCAGAATTATCTACATCGTCTCTTGTAATACGTTGTTGTTATGATTTTCCATAATAAAAATCTCTTTTTCGTTGTAAATAGAATATTTATTAATAATATAAAATGGTCCTTTGTATGAGTAGGTACAAAAGGTTATCATACTGTTAGTGCACATACTTTACACATGCTTAATAATTGGATATGTTTGTTTAAGAATCATAATTAATATATTCATTAAAAAATTATGAGTAACTAGTTAGATAAAAAAAAAAATAATAAAAGGAAGAAGCGTTTAGTTTTTGTTAAATGTTAAGTAAAAATATCTGTTATATTAGACAACGTTGACTGTCACCTTAACTAATGAGCCAGCAGCTTCTCCGTTTTTGGCGAATATCTTTTGGGCTGTTGTAGAGACAAGAAGGGGCAACTTGTTGAGTTCTTCAAAGGTGAAATTGACAAGATGTACCGCTCGTCTGGCTGTTTCCCTCGTGACCATTACAATAAGTTGTTCCAAGTTTTCTGGAGGCGCCTGATTTTCAGGTTCATCCTGACTCAAAGATGCCCAAAGTTCCTTCCCTTTTTCAAGGGCCAACGCTGGATCGGTTGCGATCTACATTGACATAGATACATAGTAATATTTATGGTCACCCCGTATAAATGATATTCCTACCAATTCAGTAACGTAGAGTAATACGTGAATAGCTTCTGTGCTTTGCTCTTTAATTGCCTCAGCTTCTGCTAAAGCTCGGCGAGTTAATCGACGTTGTAATTTACGAGAAAATCTGTCGACGTGATGTAATGTTTTTATAGCTTTTACTGCCTCAACATCATCTGCTGATATTTTAGAATCTGTAACTTATTTTCATAATTAAATAATGTAATTTTATTGAAGTATGTAGGTACTTAGGTGAGGTTTAGTTTGAAAAAAATCGTCACAGAATTCAATGAGAAACAATTAATGCTATTGAAGTATTTAATTACCATCGCTTCCATCTCCTGGTAAATATCTTTCCACATATTTGTCCGCAACATCTAAGGCTCCATCCAAAGTTTCAGCAGCAAATTCAGTATATTTACTGACTAAAACTGTATTACCAATTTGCTTCATCGAATCGGCCCTTTTGAGAACAGGCTGGGCAAACGTTTTTCCCATATTGGTAACATATTGTTTAGCATTGACATACATCTGATAAGAAGTTATATTATCAACAAGTTTGTTTTTAAAATTTATGCTGTTTTTTAGTATTTTATCGAACTTCTAAATAATCATTCAGCAATTAAAAATAAGAAACAAGATTCATTTGGTTTTGTGAAATATCTATTACTTACCACTTCTGGTGGAAGCTTAACAGAGGGATACCTTTCTTCAACGATATCTAAACTTTTACACAGAACCGTGTCTACAGTTTGAAGAGGTCCTTCAAATAAGACTGCTGCTGGTAAGGCAGAATCGACAACATTGAAAATTGTTGTTTCAGCTTGGTCAATAGCCCAATGAACAACACTGTTGGACGTCTAGTAGTAATAAATATTTAAAAAAAAATCATAAAAAGTATTTTCAATTGGTTTAGTTTCGATTTATAAACAATTGATGTGATTTACCTTTATTTTGCTGTAAACTTTTCCTGCATAATACCATCCTGTTTCTACAATAGGTAGACGTGTAATTCGATCTACAGATTGTAGTTTAGAGAGTTGATAATGTGTGGTAGGCACTAAAAGAAGTGAAAATATCTTTGAAGTATTTTTTTCTCGTGATAATAATTCTATTACTTCTACTCATATTCGATACTTATAATGGACATCGAGTTATGTAAATACCTATTTACAGTTTTGATTAGCTACTTGTCATTATATTGTCACGTCTTGAAATAAATAGATCAATTAAATTTGTCATTTTCATTTTTAAATTTCAGTCGATTTCATTAGTCAGAAAAAATGTCTAATCGTGGAGATTGTTGTCCGCCCCAATGTTGTCCGCCCCCTGTTAGTGTTCCTTTATTTTTTGGCTTTAGTCCTCAGAAAGGACCTTACCCCTATATACCGCCCAGCCCATGCCCTACTAGTTCCCCAATTAAAGAAAATATGAGTCGGCCTATATTAGAACTTAGTCCCGAAGAAAAAGAGTCACTACGGTACGATAATTTTTACAATGGATATAACATGGATTATTATGACCATATAGGGGTGAAATTTTATTAATTATTATCGTATATTTGGGTATAAATACCGATATATTAAATTTGTTATTTGAGTACGTATCATTTTAATAATTAGAAATAATAAACTACTGTTATCTTTATTTTTTGATGGAATCTTTATGAATGAAACATTTCTATTTATGATAATTTAGAAAAGTTCTTAAATACGAAATATTTGGATTTGCCATTACATATGTACATGATAACGCAAGAAACTTTTGAACCTGAACGATTATGATAATAATTCTATTATTACGAAATAAATAAAAATACAAACTTTCAAATTTTATCTGATGGCAAATTTGGTCTTAAAATACAATTAAAAACTTACCCTAATTGAATGATTTTATTGATTAAATATTTTTTTTTTTCATTTAATGATACCTACTTATTGAAAAGTACATTGAACTTTATCCCGTTCCGGATCTGTAGAAAATTTTTACAGATTCTAATTGAACTTTGTAACGTTACCATTTTTTATTGATCTTATGACTAATTAACAAATTCGCTTGAAAGTTTACAAACTGAGTGATAACGGCAATTAAAATTCCTGAAATTAAAGCTGGGTCAATAAATAAATTAAGGATATAGATATAAATTTTAATAAGGAACAAGTACGATAATAATCATGAAAATGAATTCTTGTTACAAAAAAATTTTTTTTTCTGCCTGCAAAATGTAGTTTTATTAAAATGTATCAAAAAAAAAATATATCCCTCTCTTAATTATTTAGCCTCTATATTCTCTCAGGGACACCCTTACATATCTTATCCCTTGCATAAACATGATTTTGTAAAATGAATGTTGAAAACCACGATTAAATTCCTACCTCAAAATATTTACATGAAAAGTTACATTGATTTATCAATTATAAAAGGGTAGATATTAAAGATATGTGTACGAACAATTGAAATCATATCGTATATCATAATAGAAGTAGCTCCAAAGTACATTTTATCAATGTGCATGTTGTTAGATTGTACACTAGTCATTTCAAAATATATTTTGCATTATGTATTAACATATGCAATGGTAGAGATATATGTATTACTTTCAGTAGCATACAAGTAAAATAGAAAATTTTATTTTCGGATTGTAAAACACAAACGTGATACGGTCAATAAATTTTGCAAAAGAACATTTTATATTTTATACACGTAAGCATTAATTTTTTTTTGCTAACGCAAAAAACACCGTTTTATGTACTAAAATGCATTATCTTACGAAAGAAACTTTTATAATTAATTAATTTTATCTGCTTGCCCTTGAAGTTGAATATTTTCGCATGACAAGTAAGCATGAATGAGACGAAAATGCATCTTTAAAAACAATAATTAAAAAATGTATAATTAACGCTTTATTACTATTTCGCTATTTTTTTTGATAAATATCCCTCCTTTTTGGTGGAAAAGAATTTGTTCGAGAATTGAACACAAATAGGTATTAACAGGATAAACTGCAGTAATACACAGGGTGATCAAAAAATATCTGGCGCAGTTGTAATTATCTAATTAACATTTTGTAAATATGGATAAAAAAAAGTAAATTTCAACCTCTGTTATTGACTTTTAAGGCTTAAGAAAAACAAAAAGAGAAAAAATTGATTGGAAAAGTGACGATTCGAATTTTTTAGCTTGAATGTAGTCTCACATTTATAAAATTAAATTAAAACCTTCATACTAATTATTTATTATACAAAAATACAGTGGAAATTGCACTTACTTGATGATTTAAAGAATTGCAGAAGATTGCTGTTGTATTCCACCGATTTTACCGGCTCTACAATAACCACTGAGTAACTATAGCTAAAGTTAAGCTAACTTTCCAAGCGCCTCAGCAATGCCCTTGACCTCGCTCGTTGATACAGACATGAACCTTAGACTGATAAGTGCAAATTGTTTGTCTATATCATGAGCAATATTTAGTACAAAATTTTTATCGACATTTAAAAATATTTGACTAGACTAATTGATAGCAGATTTCAAATAAGGGAAAAGAATAGACACTTTAAGGAACGTCGGTACGTTTGAATGTCCTCAATAACTAATAGCGAAACAGATAACAAACAAAAATGATTCTGTGACATATTGTAATTTCCAGATTATTTGTTAACGTTAATCAGAAACACGTACCTACGGATGCGCCTGGGTATTATAAATATCTACCATACATTAAAATTTCTAATATTAACAAAACGTCCATGGCGTTAATTAATAAAATGATCAATATTTTTTGTCCTTTTTTAGTTTTTCATAACATTTTCATCTATTTTTTTTCTTTTGTCTTCATTTTTAACTTTTAAGTCATTTCAGTTGATGAGTTGTAATATCTCCTGCATTTAAAAAAATAACTCAATATCTTCGGAAATAAAAATTGGTCCTGTTAAATTAAATTCCACACGATAAGAAATTCGTTTTTTTAAGTGAGTTAACTTGCTTTTTCTAAAGATTCCAAGTCCCAACATTTTATAATAAATACCGTAATAAAGTGAAAAACATTCTTTTGCATCGATAGTGCTTAATATCTTGAAAACATAACTATTTTCTTATATTTACCGAATAAATTTAAATAGACTGTTTTATTAAAATCGAGAATCTAATCTAGAGCGCACTCATTTAATTTCGCGCGAAGGAACCAAGATAATTTGAATTTATAATTATTAAATACTGAACTCGTATGCTCGTGATTGGTCGTTCTATACATAGGCAACCCACTGTATTGCAAGGTATTCTCATCGACAGTGATGCAGGAGCAGTTTTAAATCCTTTATTAACGACTCTCTTTTCTAAAAGGGGGTTTTTAGAGATGTCTCATAACAACTTCGGTATATTTTGGTACTATCTCTTTTCAGTAATGTTTCACAATAACTTTGGTATGTTTTGGTATTTTCAGCTCGTTTATCAATCGAGAAATTAATTTATTAAGAAATAATTTTTGAATTAGGGGTCGAATGTCCACGCCGGCTATTTCTAACTATTAAATTCTTTTCACTGATGCTTTACAACAACTTTGATATATCTTGGTACTTTAAACTCATTTAATAAATACGATGCCGATGTTTTTAAATTAGGGGTTGAATGTGCACGCCGGCAATTAAGCTTCTTTAATAAGGAAGAAATTAATTTTAAAATAAAAGAAAAGGCAAAAAACGAATCCTATCTTTTCAATGTACCTACTGTCGATGACTTGCAAAGAACAATTGTAGAATAACAAACTGAAACAAAAAGAATATTTTTTATAGTCTAAAAGAAATAAAAAAAATATGAGTATGAAAATTCATTTAATTTTTATCCACTGTAAATTACCTCAAGTTAATGAGGAATTTCTTTTTCACATTAATATTTAAAATATTGTCTATAACTGCTACTGAGTTTTTTAAAAGTGTTTCGCACAATATTAAAAGCAATACATTTCAGAAGCGTATAAATGTAAAACTATCACTTTTTCGACAGGGAAGTAGTTAGCTTTTTATTTCCACCTAGCCCCATTATTTTCAGAAGATATTGATGCAACGTAATTGTTTAGGAATTTTAGTCTAATTGATATATTTTCAAACGTGATTCATTTGTTGTTGCATTATTTCCGATAATAATACATTAGGCGTCATCAATTGTAATAGATTAATTTGATTTTATCGGCCACTAGCTTTTCACCGCGGCTTCGTTAGCAGAAATTAATATTGCTTCTCCATAAAACCTTTTAACTCCCAATTCACCCCTACAAAGTTTTAATTTTATGTAATGTCACCATCTTAGATTTCAAATGCAAACGTAGCAGCAACATTTCATACTTAAGGGTTGATTTTTAGAAACTGCCAAAGCACGTATTTGCTTAATTACAACAATGAGTATTAAGAACAACCAGCAAATCCGACTACAAATAAAATATACCCCATGGAAACGTTACAACCTCTTTTCATTTGATTAGTTATATCAAAGAACATAAATACCAAGTTTCAAGTAAATTCAATCACAAATAAAAAAGAAACCAGAAAGAGAGGAACTCCGAAAACTAAGACTTTAATTTCTATTTTATTTACCTACTAGGGTAACGTACCGCAAAATTGTTTATAATAATGATATAGTAATGAAAGACTTTCGTTTGGAAATCAAAGCTTTCAAACTAGCAATTTTCTTTATTTGCGATCATGCACTGTTTTCTTCTTTCATTTTCATTTGACCGTAGCTCGAACTCTTTGATTTAATATCTAAGCGAACAGATAATAGAAAAAAGATAATGAAGTACTTAAAATCTATCAAAACATGATTAGATAAAGTGAGTTACGAACTTAACGGTTAATTCCAGTGAATATTAGTATCTAACGTATGTGAAAACGCTAGAAGCGAAATTTTTCGTGAATCATTTGTGCCTTGGTGTCAACAGTTTTAAACGTGTATTTTTTGTTTGTTTTTGGGATATACATATATGATAAAATAAACTGAGTAAGTCCTTTAAAGAAGGGGTAATTATCTATTAAAAAAAACACCCCCCATGGGGTTTGGGGAGTGTGTCAAAGGGTGATCTACTCAGCAGGAAAAAATATTTTAACCGTGGATCATCTCTTATTCCAAAAATATACAATCGTAGGACAGTCGCCTAGTAAACCAATGGCTAGTGTTCTATTTATTGTATTGTTTTGGTCATGAAAATTCTGTACGGTTTTTAAGATTTAATACAAAACGGTTGCATTTCGCAAATTTTTGTATTAAAAAAGCGTCTGTTTGTTATCCTTAAATTTAATTATCGTAATATTTACTTTACATTTGAATTCTTATTTTTGGAATATGCAGTTCTTTACAAATTCATTCAATGGGGAGGAAAGGGTCGAACCCTTCTATTTTCTATATATGTACCGATTTATTCCTTCCTTCGGGACTGGTGGCTTTGCATTAGGAATATTTCATCACAATTTCAAGCTACTCAGTTTTTCTTAAAAATATCAAAAAATACGTCCCGAGAGACAAGTATAGAAAAATTAGGAACAAACCAATTATTTCTTTAAGACATCCGAAAAGTAAAATACCATTAACCAAATCTTGGTAAAATATCATATTTCCTGAGTTTTTTGCTTCAGTTTAGGGTATACGACAGTGCCCTGGTGAATTAATGTAAGGTTTTTTGTTTTTTGATGGAGTCGAAAAAATTAAGCTTTCATTAGATGGGCCAACTGAACGCAAAGGGTCTCGTGCATGAGAGACTGATAAACAGATATTTGTAAATTTTTGCATAAAACACTTAAATGTATATATGTATAACTTTGAGATTTTATCAATAAAATGTACGTTTTATTCTATTTTTGCCTACACCATCACATATGTTTTTATAATGTTGAAATCTGAATATCTAAATGATTTATCGGAATAATCAGTTCACGGCCTTCAGCTTATTTTGACGATAAAATATACCCACAAACAATACCTTAATTACATTATACAGAAAGACCACAATTTCTGCTTATATCATCGTATCATAAAGTCTAAACAACCACCAAATATGTATTTCGAAAAATTCCTCCACTGTTTTTAGATAAATGGGGTTGTAATTTATTATAAAGTCTAATCTTAAAAGAAAATTCAAATAAAGCAACTGAGTAGATGATAGACGAACGGCAAAACATCCAACTGAATAAGGCAAAACCACCTCGAACGAAAGTTACAAAAGAAAATTTAACATTAATAACGTATGTAAGTAATGTAAGTTATAAAATTTGTTCCATTTATGGGCCCCGTTGAAAAAGTTATCTAGGGCCCCTAATGTAATGATACGAATTACAACGAATTATTATTCCAATGCATCAAGCAAATATTCATAATCTTATTAAAACAGACTTATTATTGATATGATAAATCTGAAAATAGATAATTCCCAGGAAGACTGATTACATACTTAAATTCTTTTTGTTTTCTAATAAATCATCTTCGATAATGGAATATAAATATCCCCCAGAAGGGGAAATCTAATTATAGAACCCAGCCTCATTTCACTTATGGTTAAAATAGATCGAATCCAAAATAATTTTACTTCCAAAAAAGCATATAGCTTATCGTAAATATCTGTAGCCCATTATAACTTTCTACTTATTCCCTTGAAGTGTCCGTAACATGCATGATTAAAACCGCAATCTTTCTTCATTCAGTTTAACAGAATTCCTTAATAATATTTACAAATGGCAATATTTTTAAAAATTAAAAAAAGACTGAAGTGAATGCTTTTCGTAATCGTGGAAGTCAAGAAGCTTATCAATCAAATATGGTTTTGTGATTGCTACTTTTAACAACTTGTGTGCAGATATTATATCAGCTTCTTGAATTACCACGTCTAATATGAAACGAACTTATCTGACATAATCAATCTTTAAAAATATTGCAGTTTGTTAAATAGTATTATCAGGAAATACTCTTTAACAACCAAAGAAACAATAAAAAAAATATTTTGCTCTATTTTGGTTTATATGTTTATAGATTTTACCCGCAGTGTCCTAAATACATGTTAATGATCACTAATAACCACATAAAAACAATTATTCTATCCGTCGGGAACAGTATTTTTTTTTCTGGATAAAAGGTACCCTATGTTCTTTTCTATACGTCTGACAATGTGTCTACAAAATTTCATGATGATCGGTTGTGTAGTTAAGGCGTGAAAAACCGACAAACAAACATTGTCATTTATATTATTAGTTAGAACGATCGCGTATACATGGGTACAGGTCTGACGCTGGAAGCTGGCGGAAATTTTAAAATGGCGTGGATGCGCGGTGGCAAAAGTAGGCAGTTTTAGGTATAAAGATTGCAGCCCTCTTTCTTCAGTATTCCTATCAGGGGCGTAGATTAAATATTTAAAAATAGAGATCAGTGAGCAAGTAATAGACGGACAAACAGAAGAATTAATTGTTGATGTTGGTGACAGTGATAGAGATTCCCATGATAAGAGTGAATGTGAAAACTAACTACAAAACAAAAGCAATAGGTTACTTTTTTCTTTTTTATAAGTCATGTTTTTACATTATTTTCTGGTACGCTACTACCCTGTCTGTATTAATACTATCATTTACGCCTACTGAAAGCTTCTTCGTGTATCGATTCCAAGTGACTTACCCAAATAGGTCATAAATGGGCAAGTACCTGCTCGACCGCTCGCCAACTTCCTTCGTCAGACCTGTACATCTATTAGTTTTCTATAAAATAATTTCATCTTTGGTCAATTAAATTTAATTTACAAATACGTATATTTCTAGATGGTTTTCAAGAAAATAAAAATGAAGAAAAAAATAATTCTGCTAAGTCTAACTACCCTTCTAATAAATTGTACCTCAATTCACGGGGGTGAGTATACAAAATCTTCTGTTTGTAACAATAATTTCATTACATATTTACTATTTAGCAACTTGGGAATTTGTTCCAAACGATATGGACGATCGAGTTTCGTTGAACAATGAAGGCGAGGTCCCGATAATTTATATGGATGAAGAAATTAAAGAATATATAACAATCGCTTATATGACATATACAGGTTAAAATCTACATATAATATTTATATGCACCCTTAAATATATAAAAAATATTTGTCCAGAATTCGTTCCTGTACTCAACGTTTTCTGAAACCGTTGAAACTAAAATTCAGAATAAATAGATTTACAGAAAAACTGTATAAAAAAATAAGTATTCTAGACTGCTTTTGATAAATTCATTATTTTCTAAATCAGTATTCCAGAAACTAGATACGCTACCGTCTGTGAGCCAGTGGAATTTACTTAATATTGTTTATTTTTAATTGTAATTGAAGGACCTGAACCACCCACAGCAAGTTTTCAATCACCACCTAGGGGCAACACCACTCTGGGATTGGTTTTCGTGCAAAATTCTACGTATAACAATTACTGGGCTTTAGTGGTTACAGAAAAACAAGATTATGAATCGTCCATGTGGGACACTAATCCAAGATACTTATTTACGGTTGCTGCTGACGATTATTCTTTATCGCCAGTTTTAATTATTAATAATATCGACGATAATCCACCAGTTCTGGAAACGGCAACTGACACGACATGTTCAATTCCTGTAAGTGTAATTTCATGTTAAATTTAGACAATGACGTACTGGCTCAAGAAATAGTAAGGGAAACGTAGAGGACCTCGAAGACCTTCTGAACAAGAGACAAATCCTAAAATAAAAAATACAAAACATTGCACACCCGAAAATACGTAATTGATTCTGAGGAAAAGTCTACATAGGACAAACCAGTAATACGGTTACTCAACGAATTAAAGAACACCAAAGCAAAGTCAAATTAAAACACTTTACTCAAACAGACTATTCTAAAAACTTTACATATCTACTTGGAAAAAAATGCTAAGCAGAAGCAACAGAAATGATCAAACATCCAAATAATCTAAACCAAGCTAAACAGGTACAAAACCGACTTAATTCAGCAACTGTTCCAGCGAATAACGTTTGATACACACACATACATATTCCACACAAAACTGGGAAGAGATTAGCAAACATTGGGCTGAAATAAAATCCACAATACGGAAAGTCAAAAATTCAATAATGTAAAATAAAAAATTAAGTCGATTATAAAATACTATTCGAATATACCATAAGGTTCTCTACATTTTCACTTTGGTGTGATGCTAGATTATAAAATAATATTCGAATATACCATGAGGTTCTCTACATCTTCACTTTGGTGTGACGCTATTTCTTGGGACGGGTCGTATATTAAAAAAAAATAATAATAAATCTGGACGAAAATAATCAATTTACACATATTCCAGGAAAATTATATCGGACCCTCCAACTGTACGTTTACCATATCAGATTTAGACGGATGGATTAATTACATGACGTATGAAATAGTTGGAACGGTTTGTTTATTCCAAAAAAAAAAATAATGTATATATTTCGTTTAATTTCTCTTGTTACAGTTCAATGAAGAAAACTTGTTTGCGTTTAGATTAGAAGATGAGAGCTCGATTACCAATACTACATACAAAGCAACGTTAATTCTCCACACAATTGACGAATTAGATTTCGAAACTAGATCAATTTATTTTTTCGATCTAATTGCTAGGGTATAACACTAATGTAATTCGTATCAGGCATCTTTTTTTTATTATTATTTTTACAGGATTCAGGGAACAATACAGGTAGATTAAAAATTTACGTAGAGGTCGAAGACATGCCCGATATGCCACCTGTTTGGACATCAGTCTTCGCTTCACTACAATTTGATGAGAAAACTGAACAAGTATGAATTTTTGAGCTTTCACAGACACTGTTATTTACTTCATATTTAGCCTCGGAGATTTAAGGCACTAACTCAAACTCTTCAACAACTCGAGTATACTTTTAGTCAACATTTTTAGAAAAAATTTAATTTTTTTTTTGTTAAACATTTTCAAAAAATTGATTAATTCTAGAGAAATTGGACTTTTCACAATGCTGATTAAAATAATCTGCAAAAAACAAACATTTATTTATTTTGGAATTTAAGTACTTAACAAACATTTGCTAATCTACAAATTAATCTTAATTCATTTACGTATGTACCATAAAAATTCGAATTTTGCAATAAAAATATTTTACACGTAATACAATTGCATGGAATGTCTATTTTTCTAACTTTCCATTTTATATTTTAGACATATTCTGTAAATGCCATTGATGGAGACATTGGCTTGAACTGGGAAATAAATTACTGGTTAACTACTTCAAATTCCGAATGTATGCAATATTTTTTAATATTTCTTTGTATAGTTACATGAAACAATACGTTTACTACCTTGATCATTAACTTTCCAAACGGTCTCCATGTTTTTCTTTGATTACAGGGGAAGGATTTTTTGAAATCGAAAACAAAACTGGCGTTATAACTATCAATCCCATTGACAGAGATGCTTTAGACAATTCCATATACTATTTCACCATCTTCGCTTATGAAGTCCCAGATCCAACTTGGATGATCAATCAGTCAGTTACAGTCATAGTTAATGATGTTAACGATAATATACCTGTTATCACAATGAGCCCATTATCAGTATCAATTGAGGAAAACAAAACTCTGTCGCTCCCAATTAATATCACCATTAATGATATTGACACGGTACGAAAATAACTTGTACTAAAGTTCAATTTTCATGTTCTACTACAGTCGCTGTTCATAAACGAAGTAACATTGTCCATTCGATTTTTTATTAGGTACCGAACATTGGCGACTTTTTCTGGTTTTTCATCTTTAATTTTTTATGATAGCTTTAGTTCTATTTTTACCGTCTTTACATACCAAGTGTTTGATTAATTTTTACTTATTTGTACTTGATTGCAAGTTATTAATTTCATTTTGATCCTTTCTCCCATCATCATCATAAGGTCATCAGTCCTAAGACTGGTTGGACACATACCTCCACTCTTTCCTATCCTGAGCTAAACTTCGCATTTCCCTAAAACTAGAACAGCCCACATCCTTAACTATTTGCGAAGAGTAATCTAATCTAGGTCTACCTCTACCCCTCCTAACTCCTGTTTCTGCCTCTAATATGTCTCTGACT